CAAATAGAAAATGTAAAATCTGAAAATAAGTCTTCCGATTCTTCAAAATCTGACAAACAAGATGGACAATCAATTCAACCGGGCAAACTAGCTGATGAATCCCAAATAGGTGGCCTCAGTTCATTGTTTACTCCTCAAAAAACACAAGTAGCAGATGAACAAGTGACTATTAATGATTCTGTGATTGAAAATGATACTGAAGTTCCAAAACCTCCTAAGAAAAGATATTTAGATGTACCTTTTTCACCTGATAATAAGAGAGAATGTAAAGCTGATCTTTTTGATGTAAAAAAGAGAAAAAAATCTGAATCAAATAATAATGTGCAATATGTAAGAAATCTCTTTAATTAAAATGTTCTTAAATTAATTTTTTAAATAATTATAATTAAAATTTTTAATTAAAATTAAATATGATTTCAATTGAATATTTATTTTGTTTTTTTAAATTTTATATTTTTAACATTAATAATTATATTTAGGATATAGAAGATGAAAAAACGGAATTAAATAATTTTTTATCTACAAATATGCCTTCAGAAGAAAGTAATTTTAGAACTGAACGAACATGCAAAGGTTTACGTTATCAAAAGTTCCTTGCTGAACAAATGAAAAATGTTGGTGCCTCTGGACAGCAACCTAAACGAAGAAGGCAAGCTGGAAATTATAGGTAAATAATTATGGCATTTTATTAGATTCACATTATATGCAAAGTATGAATTTATTATTAATAACATTTAATCAATTTACTTAGCACTGATGGCCAAGCAAATGAAAGAAGAAATTCTATTTCTTCGAATGTCAGTGAGAAAACAGATTCTTTGAGCAGTGAAGGTGGAAATAATTCTCGTAGCGAATTGGAACATCTTGTTGAAAGGTGACTTATATTTGTTTATAGTTAATTTTTATATTATGTATATATGTAAATAAAAAAAAATAATATATAAATATTATGTAAAGTGCTGAAGGAAATGTAGAAGCAGCAAAACCAGAAGAAACAGAAACTGAAGATGCAGAAGAGCAAGTTGATTTTGGACCTTGGACTGCAAGAAAAAGATTTCGAGCTGAGTAAGTTTAATTTTATTGTATAAGTTATATATTAAAATACTGTGGTATACAATGAAAATGTATTATTTTCATTTTTTTATGTAGGGATTTTAATTTAGAAAAGAAAATTGAAGCATTACCATCTTTAAGTTTAGAAGAATTTCAGGAAAAGAAGAAACAACAACGTACGAAAAAGAAAAAAATTGCACAAAAATTAACATCAACTTCGAATAATAAAAGACATCAAAATAATTTTGATATCAATGATCAAGCAAATAGTCAAAACATTTCAATAATATCTCAAACAGAACGTGAAAATTCAGAAGATGCTGAAAAACTTCTAGTTGGAAGTCAAAAAAGGAAAGCACGAAAACAAAGTATTACACGTAATGCAGCAGCTATAAATGATTCAAAGCAAATTGAAATTGAGGAACTTAATAAATGTAAGTATATATAAATAAAACTTTGTAAATTTTTATTTCATTTGTTAGTATTTCATATAAATATATTACAAATATTTTTTTATAAATTTTTCAGATTGGAATATTATTATGTCATAAAAATTTTTATTTAAATTATTTATATTTTCATATAATATTAAAGACTTAAAGTATAAAAGTAAAAAAAATATTGTAAAGAAAAAATTCATTTAGAAATTAAATTTCGTATTAATTAAAGCATTGATTTATGTCATGTAAAGTTTTTATGAGTTAGATAACATATAATTGCATTCCAATCTGCAAAATTTTAATATGTACTTAAGTTTTACTTTTTATTAATAATCTTGATTTAAAAATTAAAAAAATATTTGAAATTATTAAATTAATATTATATTTAGTTTTTTATTATTATAAATATTATATAAGTTTAAATTATTTAATTAATTCAAATTAATTAATTATACAAATATTAATAGCGTGGTGTGCATCGCCGGACTTAGAAGCACTGGCATGTCTTGCAGCAGTTGCCGCCAACAGAACAAAACTTACCAAAAATAATACATAAGAGATATATATTTTTCGTATTTAGCAGTCATTCGTGACGTAAACTTGTACTAAGTAAACCAAAATCTTATTCATTTATTTCTTAATACAATTTCTTATTAGCTGAATTATTGAAATAATTGCTTTGATTGCTGTTAAAGAAAAAAATAATAACGTTTTTAATTATTCAAAAATATGCTACGTTATTATTGTTAATATCTATGTCGTTAATCGCTATTAATATGAATATTAATACTGACTGCTATCATAATTTTGTCACTTAACGTGTAAAAATATTTTTTTTATGTTGCATAAATGTCCCACAAATGTAGTTTATGGAATATAGTTTCTTGTATAGTTTGTTAATGAATAACCTTGTTACTATTATATTGAAGAAAGATTCTAGTTTTCACTTTGAGTTGCGTGTAATTATTAAAATATTACGTCAAGCATTCTATACTTGTTAATAAATACCTGCAGTGCAGATAATAGCCATTTTATTGAAAATGCCCGTGTATTGATATTCATTGGGAAATTTGTGCAACTTCCAACAAAGGATGTATTGTAGTCATATAGGACCTGACTAGGTAAATATTCAAGAAAAGGAAAGGTGCATGCAATAAGAGAGTGTTAATGAGCGTATATTATGCAATGATGTAGGCGAAGCAAGAATTTGATCTTGCAGACTAATTTTTCTAATATAAAATATTATAAATACGATCAAGAAGAAACGGTAACAAAACCGTGAACTTTAACAAAGCCGATGAGCAGGGCATTTTATCATATCTATATGTAGTAACGATAACACGTAATAACGCAAAGTCACTTGTTACTATTTTTGTTATTATCATCGGCAAACGTTTTATCTGTATTTCATTATGTTCTGTAAACATTTTATGTACATAGAAATAGGTGCAGTATTATGGAAGATATCCTTCATGATCTGAATATCAAAAAAGGATATAATCAAAATATATGTGTATAAATATATGTATATGTATATATATATATATATACATACGCAATATACACATGAAAGACCACTGTTTATATATTGTACGTGCGTACATGTAAATATACATAATAACGTCACGTATGCAAAATAAGAAATGTAAATTTTATTGTTAGAGAATGTCTGATATCAGGAAGCGTATGTATACGTATATGTATATAATTTGATAAGACTACGTATATATATATATGAATGTATATTTATATAATATTTATATAACTATTATTCTAGAATTAAGACCATGAAAAATGCGATTCTGTGCTCTGTTTGAGAAAGTAAGGGACTTGTCTGTGATTTTGGCTAAAGGAGTTTTTAATATTTTATATTTTTCTATTGATTTTCTCCCATTTTCTTTCTCACTTTTTTAATTTCATTGAAGTCTAACTCTAGACACTATTAGTAAAATGATAGGAACAATTAATGTTAGTAAATTTCTCTGTAATATGGAAATGAGTATACTGATTATATTTCAAATGTGCCTTGAAGAGATATGAACATAGATATTAAACAATGACCAACAATATATTTTCGATTCGTTTCGTAATTCTAAATGTTTTTGGCTTTTACATTTATACCTTCCACATTTTCTAATTGTGGTTACGGTACATAATTATAGTAAGGCTTTTACAGCCAACGTCCGAATATTTGGAATTATAAAAGAAAAAAATAAGGGAAAGTGTTTCGAATTTTACTGCACAAACATCTATGTACCTAGCTTTAAAAATATAATTTACACGAACATATATATTATATATATATATATGTGTGTATTATATATATATATATTATATATATATATTATATATATATGTATTATATATATATTATATATATACATACACATCATGCGAACATATATATATATATATATCTACATTATATATATACTTGTAACATATTGTATACCGTTTATATGAATAATAAAGATATAATATTTTGATGTAATCTTGAAGTTATTTGCAATATATTTTTATTTTATTTTACAAAAAAAAATGATATAACAAATTTTATTTTTAAAAAATTTATTTTTTTCTTATATATATGTTTATTTAAAAAAGGAATTCTTTAGGCTAAAGAAAAATAATTAATTTTATTTAAAATTCTTTTATATAAGAAAAAAAATTATCATTCAAAATCATTATTTCTAGAAAAATTTTTTTAATTTTTTAATTCTTTTAAAATATATATATATATAAAAAATATTTTGCACTAAGTATGTATATTTTTAATATAAATACAAATAATAATCTTTATTAGCATTAATCAAACAAATATTTGATTAATAATCATATATTTATGACATTTTTATCACTTTCCAAAAATATATTATATTTATTCTGTTTATTCTGTTTTATTCCGTTTGTTTTTATTCTATATATAAATATTTAAATATAAATTTCATTTCACAGTTTAGTGACTTTTAATGCTAAGATTACAAATGTAGAGATCCATCTTAATTAAATTTTATTTAATTCATGTTACATTGTTCACAATATTTATAAATTTTTAAATTTATAAGTTTTAAAAATAATCAATTTTAATGTGTATACGATTATTAATATGTATAAATTTATATAAAATTATATATAGATTATCAACATTATATCAAAATCATAATTATTTATAAAAAAGTTAAATAAATATATAATCATTTTAATTTGAATTAGAAATACTACTTTATCGTAATTACATAAAATCATATGATTAATATTTAAAAAAATGTTTTATTTTCGATTATTTATACTTTATTTGATAATTTTTAAAGTTTTAATTATTAGTATTTATAATATTTATAAAATTTAAATAAACTTTTAAAATTAATTCATCTACAATTTTTATATTTTTAATCTCAATCTACGTGTTTAAAATTTTTATAGAAGTCGTACCATCTATAAATTTGAAATCTATGAATCATGATTAAAACTGCTTGACAAATTCAAACGTTGGATGCTATTATTGCATAGTGTATGTATCGCACTGTAGTGACAGCTACGTCAAGTTACATGACTTGCTCGTTTGTGTAAAGCGAAAGCTGATTGCTTGAATTGTCAATCGTTCTTATTCTACAATAGACACTTGGAAAGCGATTTACGATATTTCAGGATGGGCGTAATTTTCTTGGAACATATCGGAGGTACTCGTTTATTCTCTTGCGCTTCCTGTGACACTAATCTTACAAACAGAGGTCAGCTGATAAGCACGCGTTTTACGGGCGCTACAGGCCGTGCTTTTCTCTTTAACAAAGTCGTCAACTTAAATTACAGGTATTCGCGTTTTTCCTTTGTTCTATTAAATAAGATAGTATTAATCAAAGTAACATATATACACATATATAATAAATTTATGTTTATACTTTTATATTTTAAAAATTCTCGTACTTAAATAATAAAGATTATTAAGGTGAAATATTATAATTTCATGTATCTAAAAAAATGGAAAAAAAGATAATTAATTTGAAACAAATTATTGACTATTAATTAAAGAAAGATGTGTATAAGTAGATATAAAAGAAAGAAAAATATAATATAATGTATATAATAGTTTATAAAATTAATTATAAAGGTACAACATGGCGTCATTTTTGTTTTGATACATTTCATAACAATAGTATTATTTGTATATCATTAAAAGTTTTAAGAAATATCAAAAAAACATTGCAAGTTAAAAGTTTTAGAAAATATAAAAAATATATCATTTTAAAGAAATTTATTAATTTCAAACAAAAATAATTTGATCATATCATTAATTATTTAAATGTTATATATAATAAATTTTATTTTATGTTGATTATATATTACCTTAGGTACATAATTTTTCTACTTATGCATATTTAGCTTTTTAACATTATTTAGCACACAGGATACCATTCATAAATGTACAAAATCTCAGAGAAATCGTACTAATGGAATAATCTTATGTAATTATTATCTATTCATAATTTAATTTGTCTACAATGATACACAGCGAGGTACAGGATAGAGTGATGTTGACGGGTCGTCACATGGTCCGAGATGTCAGCTGCAAAAACTGTGATGCTAAACTTGGGTGGGTGTATGAATTTGCAACAGACGATAATCAACGATACAAGGAAGGCCGTGTCATCCTGGAACGTGCTTTAGTCACAGAAAGCGATGGAATGGGCGATAATATTTAATACATTACAAGAAGTAGCACGTCATAGGATAAGAATACTTTATAGTCAATGTAAAATCAGTTGTTCTTTTTCTTAGTGTTCCTCATATATTTGGAGTAATTGAAAATTGTTGTAAAGTGTATGATAATTTATATTTAATATTCAATATTTTTGTAAACATAAAACATACTTTATTTTATGGTATTACATATTTCTAATGATCAGCTATTATTTTTTTAAAGTTATTTTTCATTTAAACATGTATACCATGTTAAGTCTGATTTAAAATAAAGATTCAGTCGATTATTGTGTTAATACTTTTAATACATATATATTATGATATTGTTCTTTTATATTAGAATTTATTGTATAAAAAAAATAAATATTAAATAAATAAAAAACATTGTAATACATAAATATATCAATAAAATTAATAAATCTCAATAAAATAAAAAATAAATCATTTATTATAAATAATAATCATATTTTTATTATTATTAATTATGATATTAATTATAACATATATTTTTTTATTATAAATCATAAAATGCACTTATTAATAAATTTAATTACTAAATAATTATAATATTTTAATAACTATTATATCATAATTTTTGTTCGAAAAAAAATACTTCTCGAAAAATAATTTAATTAGTAAAATAAATTAATTCAAATGAATTATATTTACAAATATATAAATAATATATTTATAATTTAACAATATATATTATAATAGATATTAAATAGGTAAGTATATATTATTAATAAAAGCAAATTTAAGTAAATTTTAAAAACATATAAAAAAGGCAAATAAAATGATCGACATATTTGAGACACAAATGAACCGCGCCCTAAACTGTTACGTGATTGGTTGTTACTATTCGGATAAAGACCAATAGTAGAGACGAAGTTCTGTAACGAGTTGCGACGACGAACCAGTGTGGTCACGTAAGCCCACCATACCGCATGGTGGATACATGTTTCCTTTAACTCGACGTTGTATAAAATGCTATAATTGTGTATTGTTGTTATTTTGCAAGGGACACAACGATCTTGTGGAGCAGCCATCTCCAGCCTTGCATACGGTAATTACATTAATATGTAGTTATATTATATAGTCATAGCGCGTTGACCGATTTGAACGTACAATTTGTTGTTTGCTGTTCGGCTCAATGGCCGAGTGCTAGTCGCACAGTAGCAATATATTCTCGTTACGCTTATAGAATATTTCTTTTATTCATTTTGCAAGCATTCCAATATTTGATTATTTTTATATTTTTATTATGAAAAGGAATTAATATTTGCATATAAACGAATTTTTTTTATTCTCTTGTTTTTCTTTTTTTGTTCTTCGTCCTGTCCCCTCTACTGTATCCCATGCATACAAAGATACGCAGCGGTACTGATGAAAGCGACTCAAAAAATTCTATGGAAATACAAAATGAAATTTTATTAGGAAACGTTTAATTTTATTTCATGAAAATTTTTTGATGCTTAGTAAGATTTTTATACATCATTGTATTATTTCTGACTAAGTAAAAAGAATCATATCTTATCAATCGTTTAGAGACATATAAAGTCTCATACACGGTGCCATTGCACCGCCGAATGGATCGTAACAGGAAAGCTATAAATACACACGCATCGCGGGGTAAACAAACTTGACCTCAGTGGAATTCTTATCGATGTATCTACATGTCGATGCAATGTGTACAGATATTTTGAGGTTATGTTGGTCACTAAAGTTCGTTAAATGTGTATGAAAATCAAGAAAATTTAATCATTTGATATAACGGAATAAATACATTTTTTTGAGAGAAATTAAAATACAGTACTTATATATTTGAAATGTATCTTTAACTATAATAACTTATTATAATTGTTTTTATATATATAATATAGCTAGTTTTATATCTAAATAAAAACAAACAAATCTAGTACAATAATTTTGTAAAAATAATTAATGTTAGATGTTAAGTTTTACTTACTGCATACTTTCACTGTTCTAGAAAGTTGATATGTTAATTTATGTTAAATATTAATATCATAATATCAAGTTTAAATTATGGAATTATAAATGATTAAAAAAATATTGTATCAAATGAATAATTAAATTTTTAATCATAACTTTTTCTTTCTTGCTTATTAAATATCAAATTAAAAAAATTTAATTGAATATAATTCTTATTTAATTTAATAACAAATATATATATTTTTTAAAATATATATTTTATTTAATTATATTTTCGAAATAAATAAATTAAAATATATTACATATATAAATATGTATTAATTATTGTGCATAAATAATATATTAATAATAAGTTATTAATTTATTCATAATATATTCAATAAAATTCAAATTGAATTTAATATTATAAAAAAAATTTATAATATTAATATTAAAATAATATTTTATTAATAGATTTTAATTAATTAATTAAAATATATTGTTCTTTGTAAATTTTTTTTAAATATTATATTTTGTTTTTAAATATCTAAATTATTGAATAATCGTTTTTAATATATATTAAATTTGTATATAAGGAATGTTCATATATTAATTAGTAAATAAACATATGTGAAATATAAATATTGTTAAATTTTATTTTCTACAGACTGCTGGCATATCCCTAATTTTACTTGAATATTGTTGGAATATAATTAAATCATAATCTATATAATTAAAAAGAAATTGGAGCTTCTATTATCTGCTCCTTAATATTAAAGCACTATTAAAAATGAAGTGGTCACCTGGTGCTTTATTCTGCGAACAAGTTGGTGAACTCACTCGAGTTTTCTCACAATGGAATGAATGTGAACAAACTGTGGTTTTATATGCACTACTTCGTCGCATTCCTGCAGTTCAAGCAAGGTTTCTTGCACAAGCTGTGCAGCATTCCTTGCACTCTGTTTCTGAATTGGATACACAGGAATTAAATGCCAATAATCCAGGTAGTATTTATAATTATGACTATAAATATGTTTATAATTATATAAATACAAAAGATTTATTGAAAATTTTGTTGCAGGATTTATTAATTCATTACTCTCAGAATCAACTGAAGTTGCTATAAATCAACTTCTAACACATTTGCCATTATTAAGGCCTGGGAATATAGAGTGCAAACAATGCTACTTGGTAGCAATACCAGAATTAGTAAGCCACTGTGTAACTACAGGACAATATACTGAACAAACTCAACAACTTTTAAGTTATTGTTTGATTCATCCAGCTATAACTAGTCAAGATAGACGTTCTTTAACACAGTGGCTTCGGCATCTTGAAGAACGTATTAGTGGTACACCACCAATACATGGTCTTGAAGAATATACTAATACTACTATTAGGTAACTTATAAATATTTGTATGATATTTATATTCGTTTATACAAATTTTATTTATTTTTATTTTAGATGGGATAATGCTTGGCAGCGAAATTCTAAACAGCAAAATGAACAAACAAATTTGTTTGGCACACAACCCGGTACTGCCTTCAATTTACAATTTCCGCCACCTGTAACTCGTCAGCGCCGATCGAACAGTTTAACACCACCCGTCGCTCCTCCTCATCATTTAGAAGTTGTTGATCGCACGAACAATGTAAATTGCACAACTAAACACAAGCCACGTAGTTTTAGCGTATCTGGAGATCATGCAAGTTAGTTTAAAGTTATATATAAATGAAGAAATATTAATTATATTTTTATTTTATTTGAATAATTGTTGATTTTTAAATAGGCAATCTTATTGGATTAGGCCCATTGAGTCCTCAAAGTTCTTGCGCAAGTAGCGGTAGCGAAGGACGTTTAGATGAAACATCTAATCGATCGCTAGCTAGTGGTATGAGAGGTAAATGAATATAAATCCAGATTTTATCATTAATTTTTATAATAATTTACTCATAACATGAAAAGAAAAGAAAAGTTCGTAACATATACTATTTATCTTTTAGATGTTCCATCGTGGCTTAAAACTTTGCGTCTTCATAAATATAGTTATTTATTTGTCACTCTTAGTTATGAAGAAATGCTGCAATTAACTGAAGAACAATTAGCAGAACAGGGTGTGACAAAAGGGGCCAGACATAAATTAGCCCTTTCTATTGCAAAATTACAGCAGCGATATACAACACTTTTAAATTTAGAAAAAGACTTATTACAACCAACGCGTGATAATACACAATCGGCTTCGTTTTTACAAGGACCAACAGTTTTGGTCAATACAATTGATGAATTAAAAACCATTTTAGCTACACCTATGAAACCAAGTCAGGAAAATGATCCTCAAGATATACCTGGTCAATTTACCAAAGTTCTTGGTAAACGTAAGTATATTTATTTTTATAATGTTTAATAATACATAAGGATAATAATAATAATAATATTTTAATAAATTTTTTTTTCTAGTGTGTAGTCGATTGGCACTGGATAGCGTAGATGACGGTATTTTATGCGCTTGTATTAACATATTAGAAAAAGTATTGCAACATGATTGTTTTACTCCAAATCAAAAGGAAAAGATACAACAGTGGCGCAGTAGACTTGGAAATCCACGACCAACTCCAAAGTAAGAATAAGAACAATTTTCCATTTTCTATTACAAAAATTATAATTAAAATATAGAATAAATAAATAGACATATAATTAAAATTTGCATCATTATAATTTCAGATGGCAACATAATTACGGATATAATAATAGAAGGTATTGTAACCCTCAGCAACACAATAGAAAACCAAGTTTAAACTTAGGACACATTCATAATACACACCCGCAAAACAATTCTTTTGTGGTTAGCACTCACAGAAATAGTATATCTACCCCATATTTACAAAATAATCAGAACCAAAGTGTAAATCAGAATACTTTACGTCCAGTTCATGCGACCAAAAAACGACCTAGTTTACAAGAATCTAGTTTACAGGTATGTAACCTGCAAGTTTTATAAAATTAAGTCATATTTAAATAAGTCATATTTAAATAATAATAATATTAAAAAAATAATTTTTTTTTTTTTTTATTTTAGCAATTACAAAGAACGTTACAGCGCACATATAGTGCACCGAGGGATCATTTTCTTAGTCCAAGTAGCAACAATGCGTCTGAAACAACGGAACCAGAAATTAACTCTCGTCTTGAATCTCTTTGTTTAAGAATGACAGAACAAGCCATCGGTGGTTTCGGCGAGGCCTAATAATTTCTTCGTTTTTTTCGTTGACTGGATCTACACAGTAAGTCCTGTTAAAAAAAATTATATACATGTCCGAGCTCCGTTCTTTCAAAGCCGAAGGCTAGACTGACTTCCGTACATGTTGCGAAGAGACTCCACCAGCAGTGATAATGCTGACAAGTTGCACGTACAAACGTGCACACATTTTCACGCTTTAATAGCCCTACCAAATGAAATGTCTAATATTTGAGACATTACACCAAGAACTCAGTTTTGTGACGTCAGAATGACGCATGAAGAAAAAATAAAAAAAAAAAAAAAAAAAAAAAAAAAAACTAAAAAAAAAACTAAAAACTAAAAAAAAATATTTTTTATTATATCCGATGCAATTATTATACTATTTAATTGAAACTGACAGAATTTGGCAAGCCAAATGCTATTAGGAAGATAGATTCTTTCCTTGACTAATTGCTGCATCTATATAAATGTATTATATAAAAAAATATATATATGTATACACATATGATAGAATTTTACGGGAAACGGATAAAAAAAAAAAAAAAAAATGTATAACATATATTAAAAAGAAAAAAAAGGGGACGAAAAAGGTACACCACATTAATTGTGCGATGTTTGCAATATTATTATTTTCGTGTGTTATCCATTTCCGGAAATGGAATTTCTCTGATTTTAAGCGCCAGGACACATTATGTACTAATGTAATGTTATTCATTTTAACGAACTGACTGATTTTACTTCTTTTTAACATTACCATGATAATTATCTCTCCATTCTATCTCTTATCACCACCGCCGCTATTGCTATCATTCAAAACTTTATTCCTTATTGCTATCGTTAATTATTATTCTGGCCGATAGCTATTCACCATATTATTATTATTATTATGATGTTCATCATTGTCTTTACTATTTGTCATATTATTATTATTATTAACATCATTATTATAGTTATTACTATAATTATTACTATGTAAACTCTTATTATCGCTTCTGTTACCACTATTTCTCTGGGTGACCACTAACATCATTATCAATATGCTTTCATGCTGTTGCTATTTTTACTCTCTTACTGTTACGGCTGTCTCTATTATTATCATCTATCAGCTATTACTATTACAACTATTCTATTACAAGTAGCCCTCACCAACTACTCTTACTATTATGAGTATTGCTAATAATACTATTATACTCTCTTTACTATTGCTGTATTATTACTGTATAATTCTCCTTAGAGAAAAGAAAAATCCATATTTAAAAATGAGAAGATTTTACACATAATATTACTTCGTTACATATATTGAGAACAAAAGAAAGGAAAAGACGAAGCATTATCACTATACACATTTTAAATTCGCCTTCGCCATGCTGGAAAATGGAACAAAAGAACAAAAAAATGACATAGCGGTGTGTATGCTTTGTAGTTTGCGCACAGATCTCGTGAGTCTTTACACTCATATACGAGGGAGAGAACCAGAGAGAGAGAGAGAGAGAGAGAGAAAGAAAGAGTTACCATGTATTATTCCTTCTTTTAAAGTTGCTGTTAAGACTTAAAAGCAGAAAGAAATGATAATGATAAAAACCTTAAAAGGAAAGAAAAAAGAAGAATGGAAGAAGGATATAAAAGTTGGCAAAAAGATTATTAATAATAAATGGAGTTTTAAAGGCCTTAAAAAAAGGATATGCGTCCCTTGTTAACGAATGCTAAAAAAAAGGGTATAAGACTAAATAATTAAATATACACATATAGCAAAATGCGTCGAGAAATGAGAGAACTGAAGAAATGAATTTGCATCATACTTTTATGATGTGACATCGAAATCTGTGGCTTTAAATTATAAGCATACATCATACTATTCTATAAATATGCACTTATTAGCACTTTAAACGTCGCGGATAAAACGTAGCATAATATTTTTCGTGCAAGGAAGAGAAGAAGAAAGAGAGAGAAAGAAAAAAAAAAGATGAGAGAGAAAGTTGATTGGGAAAAAGATGAAATCGAAGGTCATGAAAAATATGAAGAAGATTAAATTTAATAACTAAATATAATAGTATTAGCGATAAACTGATATAATGTATCGATAAACAATACGCGAAACAAGCAAACAAACAAGCAAAAAAAAAAAAAAAAAAAAAAAATATATAAACGAAAGACTGAACAATTCACGCGCCGTGAGCCGTGTGGTGAATTTCGGACGTTTTTGCATTCGTTTAATTCTCGAATGACAGCTACACGGCCGCGTGAATAAAAACAATTGGAAGACTGCGGAAGGAAAAACCTGTCAAAATATTAAGAATTAGAGAACGAAGCGCGAGAGAAAAAAAAAGAGAGAATGAAGAAAAAAGATCGAGTGAAAGAAAATTGGATGAAAGAGTGGGAGAATAAGAAACGCTTGCATGTGCGTGCGTGTGAGAGTATATATCATGTTAACGAAAGAGTAATTTGCTAGCTGTATATCTAGGTTGTAACAATTTATTCTAACGATTATACTCTTATTAGGATCATGAATCTACGTAATGGCGCGCGGTGATTTCTCAATTAATTAGTCTAAACGAAAAGAATCGTCTACATGGAAAAGATTAAAGAAACGATCAATAATCGATATGATATTTTGCAGTGATCATTTGTTCCCCGAATTCTTTTCCCCTTTCTATAATTACGAAAAAAAGAAAAAAAAAAAGAACAGATTTTCATAGACAATTTGACATACACGCTCATCGTATTCATAAATATACATATACACACGTACACGCGCGCGCACACATATACTATCATACATATATGCATACATAAATACGCATTACGTATGCAATTAGAATCCCAGAAATGTTTCGTACATACGTACAGAGAAAACAGAACATGTTTCATAATTTTTCAGGAGAGACGGTCAAAAGCTAGTCAAATGAAAATACACTTTCTAATTTCTACCAGTTTTAAATGTGTATAGATATTATTTGTACATTTAATTGCGTAAAACGAAGAAATGAAGAAAAATAGAAAGAAAGAGAGAGAGATAGAGAGAAAGAGAGAAAGCGAGAGAGAGCGAGAGAGAGAGAGAGAGAAAAAGAAAAGATGAAAGCGAAGATGTATTAAACGCGCGATTTAGAAAACGAAAAATAAAAAAAAATGGTAAAAAAAAGTAACGAAATAAAAATGAAAATGGTTGGAAAGATCGAAAGAAAAAGAATAAAATGAATAAAGAAAAAAAAAAGAAATATGTACGACGACTTTTGCGTCAATGCATACAAAAAAAAAAAAAAAAGCTGAAAGACTGCTTCCAAACGACTTCAGGAAACTCGTTCAACGTAGGATTTATTATTTCGTACTGAAACGCAGTATCTTAATAAACGCGATCGATTTTAAAAAGGGCAGGACCTGAACTAGGTAAGAAACGCAAAGAGATATTATCCACATCGAGTGATCGTATATATACATGATGTATTAAAAGAAAAAAAAAAAATGAAAAGTAAGAAAAGATATGAAAGTGTAACTAAAGCGTGATTCTGCCAAAGATCGACGGCCGCTAAAACGATCACGAAATAAATGAAAAACGAAGAAAAAAGGAAATAAAATATAATACGTCTGTCGATATCTGTCTCTGTTTTAGAGAAAAATATTTATCAAGATTATAATGCAAATGAGTGAAGTGATATGATCGTTGCAGTTTTGCACAGATGACACGATTCGAAGTTTGATGTGAATTTTTAATAATGAGATCCGTGTGCATTGCATCGTTAGAAGTATAAATCGAAAGGCATTAGCTGTAAACGAAATCACGTCCCTCATCTGCATTGAATCTAATAATAATAACACGAAACAAGGCAGATTATTATACATCACGCGTAGACGAGACACGAAGAAAATGTTGCGCTTATAGTACTTATGCTGTCGTTATATATCGAGCCTACTGTTTCGTCGTAGACGAATTTCCACGAATTTCCTCATAATATAATGTGGAATGAACTGGTACGGTGGAATCGATGGCTTTCGGCAGAAACACAGCTTATTGCGATTCGATAGCATCGAATGGATAAGACGATGTTAGAATTATATTCTTATTGTCGAAATTCGGAGGCTTTCGGGTGTAACCTTTTTGAAAGAACGATTTGTTAGCGTTACAAAATATTGTTAGTGCGTATAACGTACATTGATATACTTAATGAAAAAAATTTTGTGTAAGTACTTTAACCTTTTATGCTGCACAAATGATTTCTCTTAAAAAATATATTTTTTAAGAGAAAAAAAAATTCTATAATCTTCCATTTTTGTCTCTATATTTTTCACATTATTAATATATATATATATATACATGTATTATTGTTGATCTTAATTTTAATGCGTACTATTATAATAATAAAGAAGTATATAGAATGCATTTGCGACTGTAGTCAAATATTGCAGCATAAAGGTTGATATTCCAATAAAATTGGAATATTAAAAAAATAATAAATAAATAAAAAATAAAATAAAAAAAATTAGAAACTAAAATTTTTGAATCACCAAACAACATGATTCATGAAAACATGTAAAATGACATATGAGAGGTGACTTGAGGGGTTTTTGATACATTGATTAATTTCAATACTTAAACATTTAATTCAAAATTACACATTTCTTTCATTTAAGATATTCATAACTTTTAGATTTCTAGCTACATAACTTGATCAGTCATGAAACTTCTGACAAAGTTAGTTGTGGCGTTAAAAAAAATTGTTCTTCCAAAAGTATTTTTTTTTAATCCGCGCAAAGTACTTCGATAATTTCGATTGGTAAGAATTCAGTTCGTAAAATTCCTGCGGAATTTTCTGTTTCAATCGAAGCTGTGGCAAATAATAGCTCGTCACGTGATGCTTTTCGTTGCACGACTTAATCATTCAAGCTATACTTATCCATTCGTTGCGTTTGCTTTTAATCCGCTTCAGAGAGGAGAACTCTCGTATCGCGCGGGGATAAGCGAGTTATTAGAACGCTATGTAGCACAGGATATTCTCTTTGGCCGGATGCTTGCGTTTCAGGTGATCGACTACTTAGAACATATAGTAGTATATCAAGAAGCGCGAGAAAAAATGAGAGATAGAACGCGTAGCGAAGAATTCGAAAAAACGAACATAACGGGAGGAAAATTTTCATTAACGTATATATTAAAAAAAAAAAGGAAAAAAAGAAAAAAAAAGAAAAAAAAAGAAAAAAGAACAAAAGCAAGTTTCCGGCCGAAATAAGTATCGTTGATGATAACCCAGATAGCAAAAAAGTGACCATCGACTGAGATTTACTTCGATGAGAGAAGAGCTAAACAAATGGAAGAAAAAAAAAAATGCGTTTTAGAATGTGTTTGTGAGGAACAGAAGTAGTTAGAAAAATAGAAAAATGATCTGTGTGTAATTATGGAATATAACGCCTCCTCGTCTCAGAGGGCTTTTGCTCTGTTTTAGGTGTGCTTTGGCCGGCAAATGTGATTTTTGACATCATTATTTAACAAATCCATGTTTCGAATATTTCGATATTTCACCTCATAATGGGTTTATCTTTATCTAATATTTAGCTATATATAGCTATGTAATCTTATCGATTTCATTCGATTCGGTCGTTTATGCATTACAGTTGGAATTGCGGAATATTTTTCTGATTTTGTTCTCTTTTTTTCTTTTGAATTTTTTTTTTTTAACTCTGTCGCAAAAATAGAAATAATTATGCGTAACAAGTCGAATGAGATCGATCGGTCAAATAGGAACGAAATTTTAGACGAGTTTAGCGAATTATAAAATCATAAAATATCTACATTATTGGGATATTAAAGTGAAAATAAGAGTTCGTAAATGTTTAACGATAGATGCATCAAAGATGAATTTTTTAATCCACCTATTTATTAAAGGAGGATTCCATTTGAGACTGGTATATTATGTTTTGGCCAAAGAATACCTTTGCTATATACGGCGCCTTCTGTTAATTATTAAGAGACGTAGCTTTTGAATTGTCAGATTGCTAACTGGGATATTTTAGTCACGTAAGCTGGATAACTTGTAAAAATGCAATTTTTGTACTGTTATAACGTTAAATAGACGAAGGTATACTGACGTTGTAGCGTGAAAGAACATTTTTCAATAAAAAATTTTTCATACGCAAACAATGTTTTTTTTTTCTTTTTAACAACATCATGATCAAATTTTATATAATATTTATATATAAATATAAATATTTATTTCAACTTTAATTTAAAAAAGAATGATATAAGTAAATAAAATTATTTACTGAATAAAAAAGGTATCGTTATCATAGTTCTCTAAATGATATTTATTTGATACATTTCGAAGTTTGTGAACTGTATGGACACAATTCTGCGATTTAGTCATAAAGAATACAGTAAATGTTAACACATTACCGTCAATATAATATCAATATTTAGACCTGCTTCGATATTGTCGTAGGAGGTCATATCTAAACAAGATATTTCATTTGGTGAATTTTTTTCAATAGCACGGACATTATTAGGTACATACACGTAGACTTATTGTTAATAATATGACATCGCATTTCCAAATTGCATCTGCTTCTTAAAATACCAAATATTCGAGAAATTTATTTTATATCTCTGAATCGTCTCATCTCAAAAATTCATTCTCTGTAAAACACTTTTTGTCATTAATCTCTTTTCATATAGTTGAGTTAACGTGCGTTTTCGTATCTATAAATAACTATAAGTAACTATATAATAGTAATAAATACTTATCATCTACTTAAAATGCATAAAGTATAATAAGTTCAGAGGACAAAATGCTTGCAATTTCTGTCCTTCATTGAGAATTGCGTTGATGTTATATTGACTTTTTGTTATCGAAGACTGGACCAATATAATTTCATTACATTATAAATGTTATGACTATTATAATGAAATGGTAAGTTAATATTCTTCATGTATCGAGTAATATATGTTTGATTTATTAATTGTGAAATAAATATCTCCTGCATGTTGCTTTGAATAATTTATACATAATTCTGTTTGTGAAATTATTTTACAAGAATCTTAAGAACAAGTTGTAGTAAACATTACAAAATGTAGCAATTTATTTAAAACAAAATTAATTTCTTTTTAATAAATATTTTTTAATAATCTTAATTATCTTCATCAAATTTATTTATCTAATATTATGGTTAACATTTTTATAGTAAAGAAAATGTTATTTTAAATTTAATTATTTTGTTTGAGAAAGATTCTTGATTTTTGATTGGATCTATTCATAAGATTCATAAGAAATGAGTATTAAATGAGAATTAAAATTATATAAAATACAACAGGAAGTTAAATATAAGGAGTTCATATATGATAATACAAAAGAATACATTTTAAAATAGATTAAAAAAATTAAGTAATTGTTCAAAATCTTCAACTTCATCAGTTTTATATCATAAATAAAAAGCAGGATATTTTACATCATTTTTGGCAGCTAGCTCTGACTATGTTTTTTTTTTTTTAGCATTCAAATCGTTAAATCCTGCTATCTATAAGAGTATGATATAGCTTTCCATACAACTTAAATAATCATTTTGCTTAACATTAATTATGGTATACAATTCACAACAGAAGTTTCATGCAAGGAACAGGAGTCATTTATCAATTTATCGATGTTATTCGTTAAATATATTCATATAATACATACTTAAGATATTACATTATTGTTTATCATATGTTAAATAGTATAAACATCGACTCTTTCATTCCTCGTCCGCTCATTTATTCTATACATATATGTACATTGATCAACGGTACAATCCTCCACATTGTTTCAGCGTCGACGAATGATATAAAACATTCGCAATTGATGCATCAAAGATTGCGAGAATGTATAAACAAAGTTAAAGGCAGCTTAATGCTAAATATATTAACTGATTTTTCTAATTCAGTGTTTCCCAACTTTTTTGGTTAGCAACACATTTTAAGACTAGTGTTCGTGGTACATTTTGAAACTAATTTAGAATTTATATTTATTTAAAAAGTAAAAAATATCTTTAAAATATTTTATCATTATATATTTATAATATTATAATATTATAATATAACAATATATTTATAATATTAATTGAAGTTCAGAGCATTTCGATCGAGTTAATAAGAGACAATGATTCGTAATTAATAACGATTTTTTATTGATACATTAATTAACTTGCTCATGAATTGCATTTCTCTTATTTATATATTTTTATTTAGTAAAATTTTAATGAAATTTTCGTGATTTATTAGTGTCATGATACATCGGTTGGGAAACAATTTTATCATTTTTTTTTTTTTTTTTTTTATTATAGATAGGCATTTAAAGCCATGTAGCGATGTAATTTGAAATTTGTATCCAACCCTGTTTTTTAATTTTTCATTGCTCTTCTCATCGAAAATGCATGTTTTAGAGAATATTTTCGATAGGAATGCACAATTACGAATAATATTTTATTAGTTATTCACTGGATTATCTTATCTATTCACTTAAGCAGAATGCATATTATATCATAATTACTATATTGAATAGATATAAAATAATTCGAAAAAAATCAAGTGAAGAAATGGTGTTTTTGAATGATTCAAATTTTATAAATTTATCGAAAAACGTATTGATTATCATTTTATATAAAAGCTTTATCCATTTTGATGAAATAAAACAGTGTTATTTAAAATGTGAGCTTGGCGTATAATTACATATAGGAAATGGTATTGTATCCTATTTTACATGTAAAAACAAAAAATAAAACGTTTGAAATAATTCTTAATTTAAGATTTTTTATTTTCCATTATATATTATTTTAAAAATTTGATAGATTTATGAAGATTATCTTTAGATAATATATATATATATATTTTTAAATATTTTAAGAATAACTTAATTTTTTATTTTATTGTCACATAATTTTATGACAATTGTTTTGATTGATTTATCTTTTTCGTTAATTTTTTTTTTCGTTTATTCAGTAATTTATTAAAAAAACATAAAATTAAAATAACTTTGAAGAAAAAAAATAATATTATTTTCCATAAGATACAAAAAAATCACATATAGATTTAACTTCGAATTTCAACTCAATGTAAAGTAAATATTAGTATCGAAGAAAGAAAAAGAAAAGAAATAAATAATATTCCGATTTCGACTAGGTAATGGACACAGTCCAATATCGATCCTTGGTTTCATTCTTCGCGGTTTTTTTGTGGATCTCTTATATTCAAACCGATTAAATGATATGAGTACAGAATGCGTAAGTAGCATATTCTTTACATAATACACGTATATAATTATAATATATTTATTTGGTAAAGTTTTCCGGTTAAACATTTTAAATATAAGAGAGAGAGAGAGAGAGAGAGAGAGAGAATAAGTATAGTATGGCTCAATATAAAAAATAAAGCGAACAGTAAAAATTTACAATCCCTTAAGAAAAAAATTACAGTTCCCTTTAATATACATTGAGCTAGCAGGCGTTTACAATTCTCTCACTCACAAAAATGTTTTCTTTGGTTTCATATATGTTATGTGTTTCAAATAACAATATTAAAAAAACAAAAATTTCAATTCGCTTTCGGCGCATAAATCTCGGTTGAATCGCACACGTATTGTTCTATTATTCTTTTCTTTCTTTTATATTCTTTCTTTTCTTCTCATTATATATATATATATACTATATATACTTAATGACTAATAAATCTCTAACTTCATAATTCTATTTCACAATATATATATATATATATATAATTTTATATATATATTTACTAACAAATATAATATGGCATTACAAAAATGTACATACGCTTGTAACCACGTGATCTTTAAGAATCGAATACGCTAATAATACTATCGGTGTCATGCAATATTTTAATGTCGTTCTTTTTTTTTAGGAGATGAGGACACCCCCTTTTTAATATCCTATATTTTATGTTATATCTTTTTCAGCGATCGACGCCGTTAGCTGTATCTACCACACCATCACGAAAATGTTTTTCTATTAATTTCTTTTTGTTCTATTCACCTGGAACGCAATTGCATATAGAATATACTCAGCATTGGCAGTACAGAAAGAAGTGTGCGCCAGATACTTAAAGACATGCAACAAATTACAGAGTTTGAGTTCTGTACTCTTTCTCTTGTTTTTTCTTATAATAATATGCATACAAACATGCACACACTCACGCACGCATACATACACTTATTTTTTTCTTTTTTTTTTTAAATCTTTATTTCTGTATACACGAAATTGTGCACATTTACTAAATATGATTAGTATTTCGATCGAATATGTGTTGTTCTACGTAGTAGAATTGATAATCAACAGCTAACAAGATAAACCAGTATCCTCTGTTAGTTGTAAATTTAATATGAACGAATATTGTAATTTATAATAGATTTGCTTCGATTGCAACGCCCTATTCGATTATCATAAACATATATGATGGTTTTATTTTATTAGCATATGGTTTTTCAATTTTTTTTGTTGAATCCGATTCATAATACTAATAATTTATACTGAAATATATTTTATATCACATTTTCTGTTTGTTTATCGTCGGCCTTCAGAACGATCCAGTCTTCGATTTCTTCATCTTGTTCGAAACAATTGGTGCTTAACTTATTCCCGTTCTTCTGGCATTGAATGTATTTTTATTGAAATTTTTAAATTGTAGATTTGTATAAGATTTTTCTTTACGTTTGAGTATCCGACTTGAATAGGCACGTCTAGGTACAGCACATGAAGTATCAAAGCTATAGTCTGAACAATATTAATTGGTTTCTTAAGCTTTTTTTTTTTTTTTTTTTTTGAGATTATTAAGAATGAAAGAAATTGTTATATACTTTTAACTATATTTAATAATATAAACTTGCATCACAATAACTTCCTTTGTATAAGTTTTTATATGCTTTAAATTTTTACTACAAAATTTATTTTATAAAATAATTCCTTCAAATTATTTTTTTTTTGTAGTTTTACTACATGTTTTAAATATTTAAAAATTATGATCATATTTAAAATTATGATCATTAGAATATTTTAAGTTATGTTTTTTAAATTGCATGCAATTGATAGCATGATGAGAGTTTATCTATTTGTAACTTTGTATAGCCAATTTATTTTGCTCAGGCTATAGTAACTACTTCTCTTCTCCATGATGATTCTCAAAGACAAACTTTAACTTTTCGTATGTATTTTTTCAACTTTCATATTGATTTTTTAGTCAGATATTATTTCTTTTTTTAATGAAGTCTTCAATATTTATGATTTCCTCCTCTCTAACTTAAGCAAATATTTTTTAGACGAGTATTTTCTCATATAATAATTATTAAAATCTCTTCTTTTAGCAAATCAATATGTTTCTCTGGAATTGTTTCAAGTTATAAATGAATTATTTCAAATTTCGTATAATTTCTAAAACAGAATTAAAAATAATAAATGTTCACGAGTCAAAATATTACAATGAAATTAAATAATATAAAGAGTTTGTATCAACAAAAGCATGATGGAGAAGGTTTATACTCTAAGCATGTTTCCATATTTGATTGAAGCACAACATTATTTGTTTATAACAAATTGCATATACATCTGTATTTTATTTACGTATAGAAACATGTTTAAAGTATTTAAAATATTTAATTTTTTCCGTTATCACGTGCAACATATCATAAAAATTCATTATATATTATTTTCACTTCAAATGATAAAGACTTCACGTAAAATTTAAAGCCTAAAATTAATATTGATAGAGAGAAAAGTACCAAGAGAAGGAACCCACGATTTTTTAAAAATTATGGAACTGAATACTTCATCCTTTGTGTTCAATCTTTCGGTTTCCTCGTCCAAGATTTCCTGCCGAGACTAGCGATGCTCACGGAGCTGGCAGTACTGGAGACACTTGCCAACGAGTTCAGGCTTACCGAATGTTAATCTTGCAACATGTGCACGAAACTAATCGGGAACATTCCTCTTCTTTCAGGCGCTCGTTCAAGAGCGCCTTCCATCCAGTTGTCATCATCGGTTTGTTCATTTGTTACGATGATCACCTCTCCTTCCCGGAACGACAGCTCATCCTCGTTATCCGCTTCGCAATCATACAATGCTCGACAACGTCGTAATCCGCTTAAGGTCGATGAAGTTGGCTAAAAGGAGATCGAAGAAAATAATGGTTAGTCGTAAAATGGTTAACTACATGAATAAATAACACATCGAATGTCCATTTTCGTATGTATTTTTTCTTTTTATTTTTAGTTTTTTACAAATGAAGCAAGCACTCTTTAACGAACTCACGACAGCATTGATCGTGTATCGAATTAGGAGCAATATGAAGAATTCCTTGGATCGCAAGGATGGTTAAATTGGAAATTCTAGAAATGGAAAAAAAAGGAGGACAGCTTTTTTCAAGATTTTATGCAGATCGTGCACGATTAAATATTTTCTTTCTTTTTTTTTGTCACTATTATATATTTGGTTCTTTTTTATTTTTATTATTTTTTTTTTCTATATTTTCTTATTTGTCATAATATCAGATATCATGCATGGAAGGAACTATAGTTTTAAAATCTGTAATGAAACACTAACACATTGCGTACAGTATTTTTTAATTGTTTAATTCTGTAAAATGATTATTATTTTTGCAGATAAAGATAAAAATTAAAATTTTGTTTGTATAGATATTCAATAATTTAAAAATATATAATATTCAAATATAACCATTGTAATTTAACAAAAGTTAGAAGTATACATTACATAATTTTAATATGAAAAATATATTATTCTTTCTGAAACTTTTTTTAATAAATTACCAAATATCTATACTACCAAATTCATATAAATATTTAAATAATATTATTAAATATTAATTTTTTATATGATTATTGTGCCAGTATCTGCATATATTATTATAATATTATAATTAAGATAATATTTAATTAAGATACCACAACAACAATTTTTATAAATATTGTATATACAATGTTAATATGATATCAAAATACATTGTTTTGTGAGAATAAAATATTAATAAAAATTGATGACCTATAATTAATGTTTCCATTTTTCTTGTTTTCTTTTCTTTTTTTCATTTTAATAAATATTTATGAATGTGTTTGCAAATATTCATATAATAATAATTTCTTTATTGATATGTTTAAATATAGAATTTGAACTAAAAAATTTTTGTTAATGATTTATGATATGAGAATATGATATTTCATATGAGATATGATATTTCATAAAATCGATTTCATTAAATCGATATTAAATACTATTTATTCAGAAATAGAGGAATAATGAGATTTAAATGATAATGTGATGTGAACTATAAATAATAAGCTGATCTTTTAAATAATAAAGCTGATCTTTTACAATCTACTTTTTACTAATGAACAATTCTTTTTACTCTCCGTTTTACATTTTGACATGCATTTGTTTTGAAATATTTTTCTTGCGACATATTTAAGCTGCATCCTATTTAACTGAAACTATTTTATAAATTTCAACAGGCATTTAGCAAATATATTTTACAATTCTTTTGCAAAAATTTTTGTTGAAAAATATTATATAAGCTGCATTATATTCAAATTAAGTTATCTGAAATTTAGCAAGCAATTAGCACTTAATAATAATAATAAAAAAACACAAAGCGAAATACTTCATAGCCGTACGCAATATGTTGTGATATGTTTGTTTATAAATTTAAAAAGGGATTTTGTTTAAAAAGAATTACAAAATTATACATAATGTAAATATTGTATAAGAATTATTATATATATAATTATATAATAAATAATATATATTATATATTATATAGAATGTTCATATTCGTGAAATACTTTTGGAGATTTAATTTTAGAGATCAAAGATTAAAATAAGAAAAAATTGAAACTTATTTTTTAAGTTTGCATTAAATTAAGTAAAACGGAAATAGGATACAGTAACAAAGACAGAACGATCTCACTTTATCTTCCCTTTTTTACTTAATAAATAAGCCTTAACAAATATTTTTGTATATGAACTTTTATATTTATTTTTTAGAAAAATCGACTCTCCAAAAATATTTCATGAATACATTAACATCCTATATTATTTTACATTTCAATAAATACATAGTTATAAATAATTTCAAAATATCTATGTCATATCTATGTAAAATCTTATTACTATGTAGTAATCTACATTATACTTCATTTCTCCATGATTCATGATATTAACCATTAATCTTGCCTCTAATTTCATTCATTTAGAAAACTTATGAGGTAATATTGTATCAGAATAATTTAAGGTTCAGTGCCATTATTAAACATAAATTTAGGACAAGCTCATGCGAAAATTAGATTCCAAAGCACATAGATACATTCCTAGCATGATATATTCTAATTAACGAAAATCTTACATTCATAGTTAGCATTGGGAAAGCATGAACGTTTGCCAACAGAATCACATTAACGATCCAGCGTTAGATTTGTTCTAATTAGATGTTTCACTGCCAGATAGGTTAGAATTGTAAATATAATTCAAAAAGAAATTCACGAAATAAAATACTTTTGCATAGAAATTGAACAAAATTGTTAAACACAATTATGATCACGATAAAAATTTTAATAAGTTAATTTAAACTTAAAAGATGTTATATTTGTATAAATTATATCTAAAGCACTGACGATGATTACGGATAGTACGACTGATCATGCAATGTTACTACACTTGAAAGAGATATTCAATGACACTTCTGTGTTAGTAATTTTAACTATTTTAATCAAATTCATTGCGTAAATCTGCCTAAAATAATAAATTACTTTAATGAAAAATGCATTAGAACAAAAATTTAACAATCAATTCGACAAGTTGTAATATATACATTCTTATATTAAAATTTAAATATATAAATAAGGAATAAAACTTAAAATAATATATATATAGAAAATATCTAAAAGAAATAAAGTTGTGAAGAATATGCAAAGAAATAAATAATAATAATAGCAAATAGTATGGTCAAGAATGCTTATTTTCAGCTTTTGATTTATGATTATGCAAATGATCAGATTGAAAATATAAGATTTTTTTATTGGAATATTACATAGAAATAAGAAGAGATATTTCAAGTGTAGCAAGCTGTAATGTGGGATGGCTGATGTTTACCAGATTCAGATTTGGGAGCAAAGATGAAGGCTCCTCTGCGTAGCTCTCTAGTCTGGCCCGGTCCCTTCGCTGTACCAACAATGGTTAATAACAAACCATAAAGCACTGTCTTTGAGATACATGCAGTGTCTAATTACCAATTCAAAAATTATCAATTCAAAAAAAAAAGAGATTATATGTTTTGAATTTGTTTCTTTTTATTTTCTAAAAATTTTGATAAAAAAGATTTAATATTTAACACTAATGCTAAATAAAGAATTATTTAGTGATTCTTTTTATAAGAATATTATATGAAGAAATTTTAAGTAATTCTTTAAGTAAATTTTTTGACTTGTTAAAATTATTATATTATTATTTACATTTTGCTCCAGTTATTTTTTGAATGAATGAATATGAATTTGAAAATCATGATTTATGATTATGAAAATGATTTATGATTATGCAACATAGAAAAAAATATGAATTATGTTGTTGCAAAGGTTTACCATTAACAAAATTTAATAAAAATGTGAACAATGGATATACATATATTATATATTTAAATAAGGTGAACACATGTGATTAGTATGATATGCAAAATACCAAAAGATTTTGAAAATAAGAATCGAGGAAAAGTTATTCATTATCTTCTACATGGGAATAATGATAGGAATATTGTGTTAATAATATTTTTATAGTTAGTACGGTACATTAAAATTAATGATTGTTACATATGAACGGATCTTTATATGTACATACGTATGGTGATGAAAGGTTATGTTAAATATCTATCGGTATTGATGTCTGATAATGCGCCAAATAAAATACAAAATAAAATAAAATATCATTCACCTTAGCGTGAAATAATTGAATAAACACGCAATACATAGTTAAAAATAATAAAAAAAAAAAAAATTATAAGTTATTCCTCGATTTCTTTGATTCAGTATTTTATATTTTGTTTTCGTTAAAAAAAAAGATTATTCTATTTCCGTATATAATTAAATAAAATATACAATTAAATAAAAATAAGAGAACTTACCTTACGTGGAGGTGGAATAGGATTACCCAAACCATGATCCGAACACATAGAACTTAACGACTCGCTGCTACGTCCATTACTCAATCTTGAGGAATTGATACTAGATGGAGCTGGAGGAGGAGGATTCCTTGGTCTTTGAAGCGTTGAACTATTTACTTTGTCCGTACCTAATAACAGACAAAACCAAATAAATTTCGAAAACAAAAAGAATCGGAAGATTCTAAATTTACCCGAACTAGGTGACAATTCGTAGAAGAGTTTGCGTGAATTTTTAAACGCACCGTGTCCCGTTGAAGAATCTCCACTGGGCGATCTTTTATGATGTTGACTGTTTAATGTATTTAACGCATGTGGTAGAGTATGTAAAGAATGCCCAGCTAAGATAGGTTCGCTCGTTGTACGGCTATGCGTTGACGCTGCTAAGGACGCGGACGAAGGTAGTGTACCATAATGAGAAGAAGGTATACCACCTGTACTTCCAGCCGGTGGTGGTGGGGGTGCTACACGCTTCTTCAATGATCCGTGAATATTGACCGAAATATCTGGCGCCATGGGTGTAGGTACTGAAAATAACAAAAGGATTTTAATATATAATTTACAAATAAAAATGTGAACTCTTATAATAATAAGATATACCAGCAACAGGTTTCCTTGATTGAGGTGGCGGTGGTGGAGGCATTTGTTGTCTATTCGTTGAAGAACTTGGAGAAGAACCACTTTGTAAACTGTCACATGTACTACTTCGACTACGTAAAGTCACTGGCGAATCTCCTGATCCAGCACCACCACTACTACCACCACCACCCACATAAGAAGGTGGCCTACTACGAGATTTCTTCTCAGGTGTTAAACAACCATTCTAATAAAATATATATTAATTGAAACAATTGATTTTAATAATTTTATTTTATTATTCTTATTACTTAAACATACCCTATCTTCTATTATTGTTTCGTCATCGGAAAAATCGGTAGATCCTTCGTCATGCGAGAGATTCCAGTCGATATTAACATTGTCAAACAATGTCTTTTGTCTTTGTAGAGCATGACTCAACTAAGGACAATGAAACAGTTAATATATGTACGATATATTATTGTTATACAAATTAATCAATAACTATAACAGCATTACCAGTTCTTTACAAGTGTGATGTCCCATTTCCTGTGCAATATCAAGCGGAGTTTTATCCTGCTTATTTCGATGTGTTGGATCAGCACCTGCTCGTAGCAAGAGCTTCATTGCTTCTGCTCTATCGTGTCTCGCGCAAAGATGTAAGGCTGTTTCCCCGTCGATAGTGCTTCTGTCTATACCACCTGTCGACATATTCTGTACTAAGAAATCTATAATGTGCAAGCTGTTTCCCATCTCACGTAAGATTGCTAAATGCAATGCTGTTTCACCCAGATCCTAAAAGAAAGACAAATTATAACTTTTCAAATTATTACAATTTAGTTAAAAATTTATAATAAAACAAAGCTTTATTTGTTTTATCTTATATTTTTATAATTTAATTAAAATCATACCGATGTAGGTAATGGTGCTGCTAAATCTACATTTTCTGCATAAACTTGTAAAAGTTGTTGCAAGTCACGATTATTAACTGCATGTTCTAAATCAGAAAGGAGATCTCTTTCATCTGCGCAAGTGTTCATCACGTATCGTTTATCCACATATTTAGCTCTTATAAATTCGTATCTTTCTTCCCTATAAATAAAACATATTTAATCACAGATAATCTATAAAATGAATAATTTATATAAAATTTAAATTTATATAAATTTATACATTGTGGAAGTTGGTGTTGGTTTATGATTATGATGCAATGTAGCTTCCATTACTTCGTTAAACGCCTGATTAGTCATGTGTCGTGCAAGAAGTAGTTGAGCAGTGCCTACATTATCCAATGTCAAAGACTGTATTCTAGATATATGTACTCCTAAATCACGATGAATTCCACTGCATTCTATACACACGATTATGCCAAAATTTGTAGAGAGCCATGTAGCATCTATCAAAAAAAAAAGAAAAAAAAAAAAAGAAAGAAAAGAAAAAAATCATTATTTTTTTATATATGTTTAAATTTAGATATTTATGATCTACATTACAAGTGTTTTTTAACATTATTATTAAAATAGTATTAATAATAAAATTTAGCTGAAGTATAATTTGTACAATCTGAGATAAATAAAAAGAGATATATATTTTGTTAATGTTTTATTCTCAAAATATATTCATAGTTTTACCATTTTGCGAAGAACAGTCACAACATTGATCGTTTCCAGGTAACCTCATGACACAACGTATAACAGCCTGTTGAAGTTCAACTAAACTTGGATTTCCTGTACCAGCTTCAGCTTTGCCACTTGCGTCGAATGCTCGAAGCAAAGCACGTTCCTTACAGTTTACTAAAACGGACATCCATGCTCGTTGATCAGCTTCGTCTTCCGCTTGAAAGTGATACGTTCTATTGTCTGCAATCATAAAGATCAAATATGTTAGTGATATTTTTTTTATTTTTAAATTACTTCATTAATATTTAAGCATAATTATTAGTCTTTAAAAAATAGTCTTTTAAAAATTTGTACATATATATTTCCTTAGTATTATTTTTTATATCTACTATATCTATTTTTATTTTATATTAATAATATATTATTAAGCAATCTATCATGAACAACTAAATTTTGCCTTAATGTCAATAGGTTAACAATTCAACTTACAACTAATTAGATCGAAACCTCGTTTGTCATCCGGTACTAGCTTGATTTGACAAGTTAATAAATTCACTCTCGTTGGTGGCTTATTCTCATCCGCGTGACAAATGTCCAAATAACCTTCAGCTTGAACAGCACACCGTCTCTTTTGCCAAACTCTTCTCATTTTTCCCTCGCTTTTCTTCAACAAATGACCGGATCTAGTAACACCATGCTGCTTATCCCCTTGCAATTGGTGAAGCGAATATCCTGCATTCGCATTTACGTTTAACTGAAAATCGCATAACATTAAATCGTTGTAGTTCAAATTGCGAAAAGGACCATGCTATACGAGCACAATGGATAATTTACCTCTTTGTCGCAACCTGAGCTTCTAAGGAGATTTCTCAGTTCTGTTAATCGTCTTCTTTCCTCGTCTTGTGTTTGTCTGATCTTTTGTAATTTTACACTAAGATCCGCTACGTATGAACCAAAGTGTTCAATGGTTTTTAGGCCGTCTTGAAAGTAACTGTGAAATAAAAAAATGATGTAAAATATATTTCATGAAAAGAAATTTGAGGGAGAAAAATTGATATTTATTATATATTTTATATATATATTTGAATCAATCTCTTTCACATAAAAAGATAATATTCTTATTTATAAATAATTCATAATCAACAAATTTAATTTTCATTTTCGCTTACTTGGTTTGTGCATGATAATATTCGACTAGATGCTGCAGCAGTTCAATTCCTTTTTTCGTTTTGATTTCGTTCACTTTTATAAGATACTGGAAAAGAAATAAAAGAAGATACAATTATTTGCTAATGTTTTTAATTTGACATTAAAACTCGAAATTTATTTAAAAAAAAAATCAAAATTTAATATTCAAATTTTAATCTTCAAATAATTTAATCCGAATAATTCTTTTGCAAAATAATTAAAGAAAAGATAAAGGTAATTCTTTTTGCAAAACTTAAAAAAGAAAATCTGTGCTATAAATTACACCAATCCTCCCATAATAAGCACATATTGAGAACAGAGAGAGAATCGTTCGTTCTAGATTCGTTTCGGGGAGCCTCACCTCGCACATTTGCAATTGAAACAATCTTCTCTCTTTCTCCATCTCGTCGGCGATCTCAGCCGGCGTCACTTCCGTTCGAATGAGGCCAGCCTCTTTTGCGTGTTGCTTCTTTTCCTTCTCGATTTTCGCGTATTTAGCCTCGTAATCCTTCCACGCCTTTTCGAACGGCCTTTTCAAGTCACCTTTCACACCTCGTAGATCCCCTTTCAGCACCGAGTCCAGGGGAAACATAACGATGTTGTTAATGTTCTGCATCTATTAAAGAGAATTTTTAATTAATTGAATAATTTTTAATTAATTGCATAACTCGTTCAATTTCCACATAATAAAGAGAGGATAATAAGTAAATATTTTTAAAACGTTTATTTCTTTTTAGATACCAGAGTTTTCATCAGAGCACTCAATTCTTTTGTGACGACCGCAAATTTCAAAAAGGCAGCACCGATATCCGGTTCCTGTTCTTTCAAGGCGGCATCTCCAAGCCTTTCCAACGCCCTTCCAAGATAAACCTCGTTATCGACGTGAGCTGTAACGCGAAAATATAAGAATTAATTAAAAAAAATTGCTTTATCATACGATATTTTTAATTGTTATAATTTTAAATTATTTCTATATTATTAAAAATCTGAATTTTTATTACCCAATTAAAAATTATTACTTAATTATACTGGAATATTTAAATTTAATATTTTTTAACTCCATAATTTTTTTAAAAAATCTAATTAGTAATTGCTATTTTCTACTTAAACAAACGTTAATTATACAACATTTTTCTCAATTATTTTTTTCACCAAAGTTTTTGAAATAACTATTATTTGATCTTTAATGATACATTTTCTTTAATATACATATATTTTGCATATTTCATAATATATTTATATTATAATTAAAATACAAATATAACGATAAATTTTTCACCTTAATTGTACATCTGCTTTAACTTGAGAAATATAATATCGTTAAAAAAGTGAAAAACGAGAAAGAAACGAACTTTAATGCGAATTTGTCACGAAAGATCGCCTGTTATCAATTAACTCGATCTCGTTATTATGTTAATACACGATTCTAATCTGTAAATATCCAAATTTTGTAATTCGTATACACTTTTTTCTTGAAACGTTCATTTGCATAATTATTGAGATCACGAAGATTTCGTAATTGAACAATTAATTGAAGATGGATTAATTAACGAAACCTATATAATAATCTATGAAAATAATTATTTCATTCGAATTAATTCATTAAAGTTGTAACTAATTGTAAATCCAACTAATACAGAAAGTAAAGAAAAATTGTATCCTTGAAACTATAACTATATTTAGAAACGTCAAATATAGGGCACGTGATCGATCATACCGACGAAAAAGAGACAGAATATATTTTAATATCTTTCTAGTCATTTTCAAATCCATAAGTTATTATAAAAAGAGAATGTATTATTTAAATAAATATTAATTAATGCACATATATATATAATATTTAAGCACACAATTTTTAAATTAGGAATTGGATTAAAAATTTACTTCTTCCGTTAAATCCAGAGTTATATAAACTATATATACTTCAAAATGTAATTTACAAATATTTTTCATATATTTCAAATATATTTTTCTATCTATTACAGAAAAATTCAGAGGTTTTATTATTTTATCTTTGAAACAATTTGATTTCATTACAGATCGTTATATAAACTTAACAAATTAACAAATTTTCATTCTATGCTATTTGAAAGATAAAAAGAAAAGAGTAAATAAATAATAATAATGACAAATAAATGATCTTATTTAACTCACCGTTTCCAGAATTGTGAATGGCTTTGATCGCTTTCTTCAGCTTCGTCAATCCATCTCTGTCGAAGTCCAGCGTCTGTAACAAATATTACGTAAAAATTAGGTAAGTTCTGAGTGTGCAATTTCTACTCGTTCTTATTCTAGATTATATGCGATAGAGATCACATACAAGTCAAGTGAAAGGAGATATACATATATACGCTTCTGCTTTATAATCCTCGAATAACGGAAACAGGATTACGATTCATACTTCATTGTGTTGATGTGCATTAAAAGTCAATTAAGACTGACATCGTCCATCTTGAATCTTTCAAGCTGCTTAAACGAGGATTATTTAATTCATAGAAAATGTAATACGATCGCAGGATTAATTTGAATTTAAATCTTGGATTAATTGTATGTTTGTTATTCAATGATGCGTTATATCTTACAAGATTATTCAAAATAATTAAACATTTCTTAAAATTAGATTTATATAAAAATTATTCGTTATGATGATTTTAATTCCTATAATAAAAAATAAGAGAAATCATAGATAGTCGGATATTTTAAGACAATTTATTATAATATTTAACTAGATTTAGTTTGGCTAAAATATTTGTTTTTAAAATTCATTTTTAAAATACGATATTCTAGTTAATAGATTCCAATTATCTTTAACTGTTTTTAACTAGTTTTTAAAACTAAAACTCATTTCCATATTTTTTGAATTTCTTATTATTTAGTCTTTTCTAAAAATAAGACTTTTATATTATGCTACTTTAGTATTATATAAGAAAAAAACACCGTTTTTTTAAACTATAATCATCCATCATATCAAATTATCTATTATCTTATCATTATTGACTTCTATTTAGATTGATTTCTCTTTTCGAAATAATTTTAATATTTCCCGTAATATACAATATCACTTTATTTTCGATCAAAGCAAGTATAGTTTCTCGAAAACTTCCTCATTTTTATTGTACGAAATATCCAATTTTCTCGCGATTTCTCTTAATGAAAATATCTTCTACGTACACCTTAATAATGGCATACCCAAGTCTCTTGTGTTAATTCTTTCCATTGTACTACTTTGAATTATCTTTTCGCGAACTATAGTTATTATATTAGTTATATATTATATAGTTATTATATTATAGTTAGTTTTCAAAATTTTATCGATATTAATACTATAAATTCAATTCATTATATAATACCGGTTGAGGATTATTTATAAAATATAAATTATAAAGAATTTAAATTTGCGTTAAATGAAGCGAGAAGAGATTGTTCTATTTCTCACACTATTGGCTCACTCTATCTCTGTCTCTCTATCTCTAATATTTGTTAATAAACAAGCCTTAAAGAAATTAATATGAAATTCTTTAAAAATGTTTTACGAATACATTAACATCATAACATATTTTAAAGATACAGAAAATATATTGAATTGATGATACGTAATTAAGAAATAAAAGTTTGCTTGGACAATATTTAATTAAAATTTTTTTTTTGAAAAAAAAAAAAAGAATTTTTAAATAAAATTAAATATATAAAAACAACGACCTCAATTTTTGAACAGTGTAGATCTCTTGCAACGTATCATTTCTCCATTTGAGAAACGAGTTTGTTGGGAATTCTAACTAACAAGGCATTCTTTCTCCTCCCTTTCTTCTTCGCCAATTCCTCGTATTACTACACCAATTACGCGATTAAAATGCGCAAGACGAAATTTCATACTTTATAGAAGCTAAAGACGATAAAAATAAAATAACAAGTGTATCGAAACATATATAAATATACTTGGCAATATCATATTATACATTCTTCTTTTTTCCATCTGCCTTCCTCTCATTAACACAGTTCGAGAAAATATAACGAAGATATAAAAATACATCTACATTTATTTACTTTCATAAATAACAAACAAGAATTATTTCTCGCATCAAACTAAATCAAAATTAAAAAAAAAAAAAAAAAAAAATCAAAATAGAAAATCGAATCTCGCATCTCAAAAACTTAGATTACAATCGGCTCAATTACAATTACAGTAAGAATGTTTTCTTCTAAGAAACAGATGCGTGAATCCGATCGAAACAGATTCCCCGCCAAGCAACAAACATCTCGAGCCCTTCGATCAGGAAATTGCACAGGCTTCCATTCCTCTCTCGAAGCTCGTGAGCCAGCTCGCGAGTATATTGCCAGGTCGAGTACACGTAAAGTGCCTTATACCGCGAAGAAACGCCGCGAAAGGCCTTGGCTCCGCGTAGGAAAAGCAACAACAACAACAACGAGGAAAAGGAATTCTTGAGCGGAGCAACGATACGTTTTATCGGCTCACGCTCCGCCGAGCGGAAGATTCGCCTATCTTCTCTCCTTTTCTTATCCCAGCCGATTTTTGCGTTTCGCGCGCCGCGCTTTCACGATTTTCAATAAAACGCGATGGTGGAAGCGCGCGCTCGTGGAATCTTATCGATCGCATACGGGAGTGGGTTCGAAAAGGAAAAAAGAAAAAAGGGAGGGAGAGATGGAAGATGGCAATTAAATCTTCGATTTTATACGCGAAGCGTGTGTGTGTGTGTGTGTGTGTGTGTGTGTGTGTGTGTGTGTGTGTGTGTGTGTGTGTGTGTGTGTGTGTGTGTGTGTGTGTGTGTGTGTGTGTGTGTGTGTGTGTGTGTGTGTGTGTGTGTGTGTGTGTGTGTGTGTGTGTGTGTGTGTGTGTGTGTGTGTGTGTGTGTGTGTGTGTGTGTGTGGGAGGGAACGAGCGATGAATTTCAGAGGTGAATACGTCGTCGCTACGCTTGTGAGAGTGGTATATGGGTATCTGAAATTGAAATCTCGTTCCTGAGTCGAGTTTCTCTCTGGTTCGAACGATTCTGGTGACATCTCGTGATTTTTAGAATTATTGGAAATGAAAATCAAATACATTAGTGATTTTTAAGAAACGTTTGCTAAGTTTGTCAGGGAAGCTTGATGTATCGACGAAATATTTGATTGTTACACTTAACAAATAATTCGAGATTTGATCAGGAGGAATTATGAAAACGTTATTGAAATTACATCGATTGGCTTAAACCCTATTATAGGGTTTAAGTGGTATGCGTTCGAAAGGGAAACAATGCTGTTTAATTAATTAAACGACTTCCTGGTTGGCGTTAATTAAACAAGAAAGTCGTTTAAGCGGTCGCGTCTTCAATTACCTTATTTTAATTGGGTCGTGGTGCTATAAAAGCAGTGAATGACGCGTCGATCGTTAAATAACGAATGATATCATGTTAAAAAATAAATTAGGTAAAAGGAGGATAAAATCGTAAAATTTTCTAATTATTGCGTGGCTATGATAGTTTTACAATGCACAATATATCAGGGGTTGAAAGAGGAAGATTTATTATATTTTTGTGGAATTTAGAAAATTTATATTTTATAGTCAATCGTACTAAAATCGTACATTGAATAATTTTGTTTATGAATTTTTTTTTTTTTTGTAGAAAAATATACCAATTCGAGTGTTTAAAAAGTAAAAAGATAGAAGTAATAGATGATTAAAGCAATGCATTTGACGAATAAATATATATACAAGTACACAGAGCACTGGTAGTTAATGGTCACGTGTCGTGTCATTAGACCGAATAGCTCTATCTCCGCCCAGTCTCATTTAACGCAAACTTAAATTGCTTTATAATTACTGCAAACAAACCTCAATTAAAATTTTTATATATTAATTTTATTTAATTGTATTTATTTTATTCTTTGGATCTGGATCCTCCAAGATGAATATACCAATATTCTGTATAATCCATTATTCTTTACGCACACACAAATTTTCATTAAAATTTTTTAAATAAATTTCCTTATAAGATAACGTACAAAAAAAACAATCTCCCATATAAAATTACTTGAACATTACGAAAGGATATATCGTAACTTAAAAAAAACAACATTGGTAAACACTGGTACGTACGAAACGAACAGTAGTCTGATCTATCTATCATAGATCAGAGTGCACTCATCGGTGAAAAGAGGGAATTCCGGAAGGAAGAGTTGTTGAGTAAAGCCGTATCAGCGTAACGTGTTTAACGACGTCGTGGTGATGAAATCTTGGCACGATCTTGGGGCACACCTCAAGAAGAGAGAGGGAGAGAAAAAAAAAGGGCAAGGGGCCCCCGTTACTTGTGAAATACGCGTGTTCCTCATCGCCATTGTGCGTTGACTATCAACCGGTCTGATATTTATCGTCGTATACCTCGTGTCGGCGGTTATTCAATTCAACGGTGCAGGGGAACACGTGCAACGTTTAATTACCATCCTACGCGCTCTTATTGTTGGAAACGTGGTGTCAACGAGGCTGAAACGATTGAATGGTATGAGAGATAGGATTTGAACGTTATGAAAGATTGGATGCGTTAAAAATTTTGAGTGTAACTATTTAATATAAGTTGTGAAAAATTTAGAAAATACATATAATTATATAAATTAAATTTTCTATTCTCTATTTTATAAATATTATTATTTACCATTTAAATTATTCTTACTTAATTTTATTAATTATTCTTTCATTAAATGTCACAAATAAATATTCTATTTTTTTTTTTATATTTATGGTAAAATTTTATTCAAGAATTAATTGATGTTCTTCGATTATTTCTAATATTGAAATGTTTATAAAATCCAAATATATTGTATTGGATAATTGACGTTTTTAGATAGCATTTCTTGAAAGAACGTGCTATCGAAAAGTTAACGAACTTTCATTATTTTATTCAATAATATAATATTTTCCATTAATCATGTTAAAAAGATTGTAAAAATAATCATTTATAGATAAATATAATTAAGTAATTTACTTTTCTTGAATCCATTAAAAGAAACAATTGTATCGACATTTTTAAATCTTTTTCAATCTTTCTGTCTATTAAATTTTATGCAATTGGAAACCATAAATATTCTTTCTTTTCATAAAATGATAAATGAATGTTCTTCGAACGAAAGAATATCATCTGTCACTTTGTATAGCATAAAACCAACGATCGATTGGTAAAAAATTTCCACGAAAGTCATTAGTAAAACTGACATAAAGCTTATTTCCGCTTGTGC